CATTTATTCACCATAAAAAGGGACACTCATGCTAAAACATGGATGAGTCTTGAAAACATTATGCTAAGTAAAAGAAGCTAGTCACAGAGGACTACATATTATACAATTATGTTTATATGAAATGTCCAGAAGTGTTAAATCTATGGAGACAGAAAGTAGATTAGTGGTCCTCCAGGGCTGTGGAGGGGACATGGGAAAATTGGATGGAATAGCCAAAGGGTATGGAGGTTTCTTTTTTGGTGTGATGAAATGTTCTAAAATTGTGATAATTTGTTTTTAATAATTTGCAGAGCTGATAAACCATAAAGGACCACCATCATGATGAATTCAGAACTCCCCAATTTGGCAAAATTAGTAATATTTGGAAATAACAATAGAGAAATCTGTACATATTCCAAGTCTGTTATGGAAAATATTTCTACTGTCAGTTGGTGTATGTGACAGAACTACTGCTCTAAAAAAAAAAATGAGGTACATTTTATGAGCGGGACACAATTCTACCAGTTGAATTATATCATTCACTTTTACTTCACATAAATTTTAGTTAATCTTGAATTTTAGTTACTCGGTAATTATTTGCAGAAATAACTTGCCATGTTGAGTTTCAAATTAAAGTATACACTGGGATTTTAGATTAAAATCAGTTGAATTATACTAATTAATTTCAGTGTTTTAGATAACAATATAATTAGTAAATTGAAATTTTTAGTTATGTATGGCATCTTAGGTGCTAATTCACTTTGGTGAGTCACTACAAACTAAAAAAGCAATTAAAATAAATTAAGTTAGATGTTATTAATATAATAATTACTTAATTCATTTACATACTTCTATATTATAATTATATTAGCCATTTGCTACAATGCATAATAAATTGAGTAATTAATAATCACACATATTTAACTTGCCTCTTGAGATGAACAGCTTGGGAAGAAAGGGAACTAAAAGTGAAACAGAAAATTGTATGACATTTAAGTCTGTAGAACTTGGTGGACCATTTTAATCTTTATTAAAACTAGACAACTCCAAAGCAAATGGAAAAAAACATGAGAGTCAATATTTAAATAAAATTGTGTTAAAATCTATCAGATTTTTTTAACTTACCAGAATGATTTTAGAGAACAGATACATAAAACTAAAATTAATTATTGTGCATATTCTTAGACTTCTAAATATAGTTTAATGGAACTAGTGTAAAAATTGAGGTATAAGCTGAGGATCTTGTTTTTACATCATTTTAGAAGAATCTTTAAGTATATACACATGCATATTCAAATATACTATTTGGCATATTTGAATTCAAATAATAACATATGTATTTTTAAGGAAACACATTATTTTATTTACTTCTTAACCTTATACAAGCTCCTTAATCTCTCTTGGTCTCTATAGCCTCATTTGTAAAATTAGGGTGATAATAGTACCAACCTCATAGAGTTATTGTCAATATTAAAGCTCTTTGAATGCTGCCTGGTTGTTACGTAGTAAGATATGCTAGCTACTTTTCTTTCTCTTTTTTCTTTTTATAAACAGAAACTGATCCTGTCTTTCAAACCCCCAAATATAATTAATCTTAACTAAATTAGGACTTTCCCTTAGTTTTCTATTTTAATTAACATCTTTTTTTCCCTGAAATTTAACTTGACTCTTAAGAAATATTGCATATTGACAAATTATAATGCATAGTCTCCTTATCTGCGTGCTTGTCAGCAAAACAGGGCTTTTTAAGAACAGGAAAATAAATCATACTATTCAGCAGATTTAAGTTTACCATTATTATTGTAAAAATGGTGTCCTCATTCATAGAAAATCTAAAGTCTAAGAAGTCTAACTACTTACATATTTTTGAAGGTACATTTCTTACATTACTAATATGCAAGCCGTGTCACTGAGTCAAGAAAAAAATAAACCTATAATTTTCTTTTTTTTTTTAATTTTTTTTTTTTAGATTTTTATTTTATTTTATTTGACAGATAGAGATCACAAGTAGGCAGAGAGGCAGGCAGAGAGAGAGAGAGGAGGAAGCAGGCTCCCTGCCGAGCAGAGAGCCTGATTCGGGGCTCGATCCCAGAATCCTGGGATCATGACCTGAGCCGAAGGCAGAGGCTTTAATCCACTGAGCCACCCAGGTGCCCCTAAACCTATAATTTTCATCTCAGAAGTGGAAAATGGGCATTGGTTATTTTATATAATGTTTCCAGATACCAAGTATAGATTATATTAATTTTGGGCACAGATTTTAGGATCTTCTGGATCTTAATGTAGACTTAGGTCTCCTATGATCATGGAAGTGTTCTCTAGGCAGCTTAGCACTGTTCAGTTATTTAGAACAATAAGTTACCTATAAGAAAGCCATTATCTTTTAACAACTTTTAATTTCTGAGACAAAGACAACAAAATGGTTACATATTTATGTGGTCTGAAATTTTATTAACAGCTGATTTTTAAAAATCTAAGAATAGTGGTTTGTAATTAACTTCCAAAAATGATTTTTATGTGACATCACTATCACACCAGTCTAGCTAATTAATAGGCCTCAGCATTTATAAAATGAATCTATACATTCCTATATTATGCAGACTATTTCCTGTACCCTTACTTCTTTCACAAAACATCCATCCCTTCCTTCTTTTCTACTGAATTCAAAGCTCAGAGTAACATTCGTGGACTGCTATTTTAAAGAGGAACATTATAGACCAGAGAGGGGATCAATATTTTAGGACAGTTTGTAAGATTTATCAGACACAAGGATTCCACAAAAAGAGTATAAATTAGAACCAGGTGGAAATGGGTAGGAGTGGATCTGCTCAAAGAAAAGTCTACTTAAAAGAGAGAAGTTAAAGGGGTCTTGACAGAGTGAGTCGGTCAAGAGCCACACAATTAGATTTTTAAATAATTTACTGCAAGCATACTTTCATTGTTCTTTAGATATCTTAACTTAATGTTATTTTGGGAATTTTGCTTATAAGCATAAATTAATATTAATAATTACTCTAGCTACCATCAAAGGAGAGAAATATAAAGAAGTTATGAGTCTTTATTGGATTTTGCCTCTGGTAGTTTGGGGCAGATCTTTTTTTTGGGGGGGGGCAGATCTTATTACAATAAACTTCAGGGTATCAGCCAAATTTGTATCAACTAATTAATTACCTTTATTTTTTTTAAAGATTTTATTTATTTGTTTGACAGAGGAGCAGGAGAAGCAGGCTCCCTGCTGAGCAGAGAGCCTGATGTGGGGCTTGACCCCAGGACCCTGAGATCACGACCTGAGCCAAAGGCAGAGGCTTAACCCACTGAGCCACCCAGGTGCCCCTAATTAATTACCTTTATAATGGGAACTAAGGACCAGAAAGTCTAAACTAAACTGTATAATGATTGAACCTATTTATCAACATATGTGGATGAGGAAAGATGACATATTATCTGAAAAGGTCATAAATCATGTTTATAAATTTTCTTTCATTCTTTAGGATCAAGAATAAGACCAGAAAAAGAGAAAACAAATCCGTGGGCAAAAAAAATCCACAGACTTCATTTGCTTAAATTTCCAAATGGCCTCAGAGAAAATCTCTGAACTATTAAAACAAACCACAAAAACAATAAAACCAAACTTCAACATTTACTTAGGAATTCAAGGCAAACATTTGTTCATAGACTTAGGATTACTTCTCATAGGACAAACAATTTTCATCACACAGAAATGTTAGTGACATAGGTATATCTAGGAGCTGGCATTCGAGTAACTTATTAAACATTCTCTAGAAGAGAGAGAATAAGGTGCCATCTCTAGTTTACAATTAATAAGAACATCCATTTGATAAAAAGAGAAGTCTCTAACTGACAGAAACATCACTGGAGGCTTTCATAAAGCCCAATAATTTTCAGCACACTTCTGGAAACAGGAGTGCAATTTTGCAAACTGAATGATGAGTACAAGTCCACTTTTCTATTGCTATCTGCCACACAGCAGTGTACGGGCTGGAAATACAGAATTAAGGTTAAGACTCAGCCACTACTTGAGCAGGAGGTTTTGTTTTTTTGTTTTGTTTTGTTTTTTAAAGATTTTATTTATTTATTTGTCAGAGAGAGAGAGAGAGAGAGAGCGCTCACAAGCAGGCAGAGTGGCAGACAGAGGCAGAGAGAGAAGCGGGCTCCCTGCCAAGCAAGGAGCCCGATGAGGGACTCGATCCCAGGACCTAGGATCATGACCTGAGCCGAAGGCAGCGGCTTAACCCACTGAGCCACCCAGGTGTCCCTTGAGCAGGAGTTTTTAACTTGAAATTTAGGATATGATTCTATAGACTGGTTTCCAGGTGTCAGTGAATCCTCCAAAATTGTGTATAAAATTATACCTGCACCTTCATGAGGCAATGTGTTTTCACAGATTCTTAAAGGTAGTTTAAAACCCAAACAAGGTTATGGGCCCAGTCCTATATCCATATATCCATATCCCACACGGTCACTGCAGATACTGCTCTCAATTGACCTGACACCGGCACCAGGACAGGGTGAAAACAACAGTGTCTGCTAATGGTGGAGATCAGCAGTGTGGGTACACAGAAATACACCAGGGACATTCCAAAGAGTGGTAGCAAATTTGAGTGTCTGTTGGCTGAAGTGGCCCTTGTTCATGGCTGTTAGCAGGCTAGAGTCACTCATAAGTCAGTGAGACTATTATTCTGTCCCCTTCCAATTATTCAGGCAGTTAGATGGGACTTCTGCTATAAGCTATCTCTCCTATATTAAAAAGTTGCTCCTCATTACAAAGAAAGTAAATGCAGCTATTCATTCATTAGTAGTAAAATATATATTTGTTTGATATGCACTTTCCTCTCTCCAATACGAGGACTGCGATGAAGTAAATTATTAACGGTCACATGATTCAGTATCGTTCCAACCAATGGCACCAACTCAATTGCCAGGAGATAGATTTTAAGTTCAGGAACTTTGCATGTATTTTTTACTTACAACAAACAGAAGAAAGATATTTAAATATTTACCTGCAAGATTGTCAATTTCTTTCTCCTGCAAAAGACTGACTGCGTCATCATCTCCTTCCAGCATAAGTTCTGTCTCTGCGTTTTGATTCACTATTGCTTGACTTCTGAAGGCTTTCTTGGACTTTACCACATCTTCTTCAGTGCCTAATCACAGAGGAAATATAATAATTTAGGTGATTATGATTAGTTGGCTTTCAGTATTTAAAAATAATCTATTACTTTCTTATAATTATATGCTGCATTTATGTGTGAGTTTACAATTACAGAACATTTTTACCTTCTTTATCTTGTTTGTTGTTCAAACAAACAAGATAAAGGCGGGTGTGTGTGTGTGTGTGTAATCAATCACCTACCCTTATTTTTACAGAGGAGGAAACAGGCGGAAAAAGCTCATTCCTCACTGAGGGACCAAGGAGTTGGCCAGTGGTAGGGAAAAGACTATAAATCCACATCTTGGGGCTCTAACATCACCACTTTCTATAAAAAATCTGCACCTCACCACAAGCTTGGTTTTCTGATACACAAAAGTACACAATTTTTCATAATTATACTTTTATGTGAATTAGAGAATCAAATGATCAGATCATTTTTGAAAGTACATAAGGATGAAGAAAACAAGAACGCGTCCACATCGGAAGAGGGCAGTCATTGTTGCTGCGAAGTTACAAATGGTGGAGTTAGGAATGACGGCCACACAAAATGGACTGCAAACAGTCCATTTTCACAGTCAGTGAAAGCAATAATGGTTTTCGGAACTGATAGCCTTATTTTGTTATATAAAATAGAATAGAAGGCCAAAAATCCAAGAACAAAGTCATAAAAATTGAAATATCGCCAAAGCTGACCTGGCATTAACGTCAGTCAGTGTAAAGGTTAGAAATTACAATGCATTTGAATCCCTAGTGGATTTGACTCCTTAACAGATATAATTCAATATTTATATTTCAATATTATATTTCAATTTTTTAAGGAATAGCCACTTCAGCTACCGGCTTTGGCAGGTGGTGATGATTCTAAAATTATCTGAATAGCAAGTAAATTTATATATATAAATATATATATATATATAAAATATATATATATATTTGTATTTCATGTCACTTGAGGTTGGAATTCAGCCTGGAAGAGAATGTAATTTACTGTGTTCTAGCTGTAGTATTAGTATATAGGCTTCAAGGAAGCAGCATTTCCTGTGTGGTAGTGTTATATCACAGTTCTGGGGACTGATAAAGTGTCTGTGTACATATGTAATCGCTCTCCAAATCTTGCCATGACTTTGGCCAAAATGCCCTCCAGTTAACAATTAACAATACTTTTGGTCATTCTCCCAGGCCCAATATAGGACTTCTGACAGCCCATTACGGTCTGTGGTATCTGCTCAACCATTGTTTTGGAAGCACATTTAGTTGCCGTAACACTTGCATTGTAAAAGTGTTAGTCTCTTTCATTGCAACTTGCATGCTTCTTTTTGTTAGCGATGTAGAGCCAAGTCTGTTCACTAAAACATTAATAAGTTGGTTCAAAAGTAGCACATACAGGAGTAAAAAACACACGAGGAACAGAGTCATGACACAAAGGCACCATAGAATGTAACTGTCACAGAGGTACAGTCTGTCATCCTAGCTCTGACTGGATAACAGCATTTAGAAAGCATGGCTAAAAAATAGCTTAACAGCATCAAGTAATACACTGTTAAATATATATTTTGATAAGTACTTCAGAAATAAACAGTATTATTACAACTCAATGCTACATGGCAAGTGAGGGGCATTAAATGGGTTATATGTACATTTTTCTCTCACTGGCCCTCAGATAATTCTTACTTCTGGAATAAAAGACTGAGGACTGATTACTGAATGCTCCAGAACCTTATATTATTTTTATTTGTTTTCTTGATGATATAAAGCCAGTGAAACAGAACTCTTCTGGGGGTAGCTATCCTTAGAACTTGTTTGCTTCTTGGGTAGTAACTTAATTTAAGAAACTCAGAGCTTGCATCATCTGAGAACAAAAGAGGAGAATCCAATCATTAACATCCGAGAAGCCTCTCCTGAAGTCCTTATAGCCATATTTCTGTTAGACATCTGCAGCTGGATATTCATAGCTCCACATTTCCCTAACTGAATGAATCATCTATTAGTTCTCCACCTCCCCCGATTTTGATCAACCCACTTACTTAAGCCACGAACCTAGGGGTCATCCTGATGACTGCCATGCCTGGGCTCAGGCCACCATTGTTTTGGTCTGGAGGTCTTCAATAGTTCCATTATTTACACCATCCCCCACATTTTTGTCAGAGTGATTATTACAAAGCAAAAATAAGTGGAGGATATTTGCCTGCTGCATAATGTTTCCTCCCAATCAACAACACTCAATGCAAGGCTTATATAATAGGAGTCCCAATCTAAACTCCTTAGCATGGCTGGGCCAGGCATTTTATCCTCTCAATACCAGATTTGCGTTATCTTTTCTCTATCATCAGCAATATGAACCATTTATAGCTCCTCAAACCTTCTTACCTGGGCTAATATTATTCCTTCTGTATGGTGTATTCCTTCCTTCCTCCTTTTTGGGGCTCATTCCTATTCGATCTTCCAAACTCACCTTTGTTGGGGGCCTTTCCTAGCCAACTGCTCTGTACTTTCACAGTTGACACAGAACTCTACCACATTGTACAGGTGTTATCTGTTATGTGCTTGTCTTCTCCACAGGGCTCCGGCCTCGTTTCTGCAGCCTCAGTGTGAGGCAACCAGCAGACTTGTAACAAACATAACCCAAACGGAGTTCAGCTCTACCCACTCTGTTTTCTTGTTTCTGATTTCTTAAGGTAAATTTGTGTGCCCCTTCCTTGATGATTTCATCACACCTTATAAATCTTATTACTGCAGTTATAGCAACAAACTTCAGTCTTTGTATTCTTAGTTTTCAGCACACTGCCTGGTACAGAGCGAGCCCTCATATCGGCTAAAGAAATGAATAAACTGAGACATAGAAGTTACCTCTGGATATTTCTTAACCTGAAAATCCTAAGATTTCTCAGAGAGTCCTGGTGATTTGCCTCCAGTTTGGGGACCAATTAGAGAATTTATGTATTTACATGAAAGAGAACTTGGTTCTTTATATGAAATAATCAATAAAACTCCTTAAGTATGAGTCAGCCTAATAAAACAAATTTCCCCTTGTGGACAACCATGTTTAATCTGCTTTGTCATTAAGAAAAGAGATATACATTACTCTTGTGTTATTAAAATCTACAAATAAAGTAAATGTAGTCAAAGAAAGGTGAGCTCTGAAATGTGTATTAAGCTTTTATCCTCTCTAGTTTTGAAACAGTAAAACAATTATGTCTTTAAGAGGCATATATCGACACGCTGAACTTACCATCCCTGTTGAAGTGTTATCAGTCTGTAGCTCAGTAAACTTTCTGATTTTATGGTACTGCACGAAACATTTATCTAAATTAAAGTATACAAGATCCAAAGGTGCATTTCAATCATAATATCTTTTATGAATTAGAGTTTCATTCATCAAAATTACAAGTAAAAAGAGGTAAGGTCTCAAAGGGCTGTCTCATTACAAGGCTTATAAACACTGTCCTTAGAAAGAATTGGTTTAACACTCAACAAATCAAAATCTGATTGGGAAGAGAATTTACTTGAGATAATCTATCTTCACAAGACATGTTGGACTGAGTGCACTTCTTGGCCTCTTTAGCCATTCATCAAGAAATTAACAAGCGAATACTACAAACCACCAGATCTCCCTGTGATCTGAAATTGTGAATTATGTGAATTTGAAAATGTGAATTATGTGTAAAAAGTTGGATAGTATAGGCATATATACTTATTTACTAAGAAGACATCAAAATGCCATAAATTAGAAAGGTTCAGAAGTAATAAAATACCACCAAATTATAGATTAATCCAAATTCAAAATTATTTTTACATTATTTTCCATATCGTGTGACAAATAACAACTACAGAAAAACATTCTATACTCATATAAGATTTCTTAGTAAATATATATGCCTGTAGCTCTGTGGGTAAAAACATTATCTAGTATAGAATAATGTATTAGACAAAACTAAATAAAGTTCTTCTTTCGATAAATTTATTTTAACAAATAGAAACAAAGTGTATTTTAAAACCAAAGTAACAAGAGAACTAAAATGTTTCTAGGATTGTTATTATACTCTAATATTACTCTATAATTATATTATTATTATCTTTTAAATAAGTATAAGTTATTTATAAGACAAATATTATAAGACAAATATAGTTAAAATATAGAAATGACAAGTTGGAAACATTAACTTAATAATATTCAGAGAATATGTCTATCTGGAAAGTGGACAGTCAAGGCGAAGAAGTTATTTTATTTGTTCTTATTTATTGACAAATATAGTTAATGTAAAGAAAAAGACTACATGGTAGTTTATCTGTTTAAGGAATTATTCTATACATATTCTATACAGCTCTAAAACATCTATACTAATAAATATGAAAAGTAATTTATAGCGATAGGAAAGTTGTAAATAATATATGGCTAATGCACACAGAGGAAAGATATAAACCTATAACATGCCAATTTTAGCAGAGCATCTGCTTCTTACCAGTTTTGCGCTATTATTTATTTTGCATTAAGTATAGAAATATGGCTTTAATTTGTTTATTAAAATTTTAATTAAAAATATAAAAAATTATATAAAATATGTATGTATGTATGTGTCCATCTAATGTGAATCTGCTGTGTAAGAATACATTTTCAATGTTATTTGATCTGTGCAATTAAATACATGGTCTATGACTCATGATCTGGCCCCTACTTCTTTAACCTCACTATTTTACCAGTTTGCTACCTTCACATCTTATATTCCCCAAGAGCTAGATGCTTCTGTTCCTAAACATGCAACACTTTTTCAAGTGTTTAAATCTGACCTATGTAATTTCTCTTACATGGAATTCTCTTACTTGCCTTGTCCTTCAAGATTCAGTGTAGTTGATTACTCCCTTTTCTGTATAAACTTTTTATCTTACAAATAAGTCAAAATATATTACCATGATTTTTTGATATTTTTTTTCTGGAGTCTTTTATTTGGGTATTATCTTATTAAATATGTGTCAAATATCAAACAAAGTGGCAAT